TAAATCTTACTATTAAAATAGAATATATATACTTTGTTAAATTATATAGTGTTATGATGTTTTAAAATAACTGTAGTTATTTGATCAAAAAAGGTTTATTATTAAAATTTATTTTTAGTTTTGTTTTTAATATCTCTTAAAATATGCAGTAAAATTTTTTATTGTTTTTGAAAATTTATATTATATAAGTAAAATATAAGTCTTATTTGTTTGCTGTAATTGTAAGATATTATAGCCAAATAAATTTACTAAAAATAGAAAAATATATTTCAAGAATATTATTTATAAAAAACTTGTTAATTAAACATACATTAGCTTATGATACTTAATTATTTTATGTAATCATCTAATAAAATAGATATATATATATATATATATACAAAAAAAATAATTACTTTGAAATTATATATATTTATTGTTTAAAATTATTTTTTTAAAGAAAAAAAAATATTTCTTTTTCTAATATCAAGATTAGTTGTGTGAATTTTTTATGAAATCACATTATATACAAATATTGTTTTTCTTCTAAGAGGATATATATATATATATATATATAAAGTATTTTATTACTTCAAAAGTATATTCTATGTTATTTAATATATTTAAATTAAATATTACTATTTTGTGAACTTTCCATTTTTATGAAACTATATTTATATATACTTATATTTTCGTTTTTAAATAGTTTTGTAAACTTTATACATGTTTCCTTTTTATTTTATATTGTTATTTGGAAAAAAAATTAAAAGTAAAATAATAATATTTAAATGTATTTTTTAAATTTATTAAGGATATCATAGTAATCAACCAGCGTGAGAGTTAATGTGAACGCGACACATAAGAAAGTGACTTCTCAAATAATATTATAGAGATAACTTCTATTTCAACTGCGAAAGAAACCATAAGTTTCAAAATGCTGCTTTCATGCTCACGTGTTCTGGTCATCAGCTTGTGATGTATTTCATTCATACAAGTGTGAGAATTCTGCAGCAAGAATTATATTTTGTGGATTCCCTTATAATTTGCCTCTTTGGTCGGTCAGTATTTTACCGATTACAAAACATAATATTACAGAACAGCTAAGATAAGACAGAAAACAACTTATTTGTCAAAACAAAGTTAGTTATCTTATAGATCTTTAGAATGAATTGACCTCTTCGTTGTTTAATAAAAAAGGTCCATGCGTCAATAGTGCAGAAGAAATTGGTTCCAACTGGTACAAGGTTCTCTTGGTAGAAGATCAAACTAAATGCAAGCGTCGGCCTTCTCTGTTTGAGAGTTGTAGTGTGTCTACACTTAGTTCCTGAAGAGAAAATCTATATAGCTTTCCAAAGCAATTTTTGTACCAAAAATAATTGATTTTGTGAGCTTTTATGGTTTTTGATTTGTTTGCAGTCTTTGTACATATTGTAAGAAGTGAAACAAATGGGTTCTAGGATTGGTCCTATAGAACACCTTCATTGTGAATTTCTTATCCAAAAATTCTCAAAATACATATATATATTAATTATGAGTATTTTAACTTTATGGGTTTCTAACTCAAAATATCTATTGTCAGATATTTTGAATTAGTTTCCCATAATTTAAGATATTTATAATAAATATTTATTTATACATATGCATATATGTATTTTGAGAATTTTGGATGAAAAAATTATGTTGGAGTTGTTCAAAGGTATCCTCCTTAAAATTCAAAACCAAATCTAAACTTGAGCTTCATGATAACGATAAACCAATTATAAATAACAATGTTTTTAAAATGTGACATGAATAGATTAGCATTAAGGGTGAAGCTTTGAGTCTTCGTACCAACGGTCCAAAGGTTTCTCCATGACATAGAGGCAAGTGAAAGAAATTATTAATTATTTATCTAATCACAATTTAAACAATAATAAATTAATTTTAATTTTAACTTTTTTATTTTCTTAACAAAAATTGTCAATAATAAATAAAACTGCAAAATATAAACGAATATATAATGTTAATAAATCTTGCGCTAAATCAAAAACTCAATTAATTTAAAACAAAAAAACATCTGAAACGTGCCTATTAAAAAAGGAGGACATATACTATGAGCCTAACTGGTTACAACGCAGCGATTGCGGTTGCGGTTGTGGACGTTTGCAGATACGCGAGATTGCAGTTTTAAGCGTTAGTAAGAGATTTATACGACTGGTTCAACGATTAAAAATTGTTGCGTTTGCGAGGATACTTATGACTGGTTTATCATCAAATACAACAATGGTTAAGTAATAAATTAACAATAATTATATTTTATATAATTAGCAAAATATTAAAATTATATTTTCATGATAAATATAAAAACAAATATTGAAAAAACTGCACTATTAAAATTTTTAAATATTTAAGAAAAAAATTGGAAATTTTATAGTATAAATATTTCAGTATTTCAATTATTTTAATTTTAAAATTTAATTAATATTTTATTTTTATATGTATATAGTTTTTGGAAAAAAATATTTTTATCCCCCCGTAATCGCCCGCAACCGCAAACGATAGCTCGAACCAGCTTTTGAATTTTAGAGATTCAGAGAGATTTGAAGCGATTTATAACTTTTTATGTGATTGTTGTAAAACGCCAACAACCGCTAACAACCACAAAACTGCGTTTGTGGGTAATGGCGGGAGAACCAGTCAGGCCCTATATGTACATTACTATTTATATGTAGCCTTATAAAATTTACACCATAATACCAAAGTGTTTGGATTTACATTAGCTTAAAGAATTTTTTTCTTGAAAACCTCTTTCTTCAATCCCAAAATACCAAGGAAATATAGGAATCTACTCTATTAAAATAGAGTCATTCTTTTTATATACTGATACAAGTTGTCATTTAAATTTGTACCATTTCTAGAATGTTACAAATAATATAAGTCATATAATTGATTGAACCGTATTACTTAAATTAAACCAACACAATTAATGTAAAGAGACGACCTTAATGTAAACTACCTTCAAAATACGGCAGCTATCTATGTGTATACCAAAAACACATATTTTCTCCTACAAATATGAAATGTTCTAAAAGAATATATATCATCAAAATATGGAATATAGAAATCTACTAATTATACTTAAATTAAACCAGTGGTTATTTATGGAATATAGTCTTGGGCTTACTTTTATTTTTTGAACAAATTATATAATTTGGTTTTTTGGCTTAGTATTAAGAAAAAACTCCAAAAACATTGAATAAACTTTTCACCTTAAAAGATCAAAAAATCAATTATTATTTTCAGACCCAAAAGGTATTTAATATTTTTAACAAAACAAAATTATCAATTATTAATCATTTATTTAAATCATGTACTTTAAAACATGTTAATATATTTTTTATTTTAAATAACAATCACTTTGTTTTGATAAATTTTATTGGTAACTTTTAAATAATTTATTGTTGTATTTTTCTTAAATAATTTACTGATTAAAAAAATGTAAAGCAAAACCAAAAACCAAATCTAAAAACTAAAATCCAAAATCAAAAGCTGAAAACACATGTTATATTTTTTTGCTTTGTTTATTTAGAAAATAAACTATTTTCAATTTTTTTTAAAAAAAAATTGTTATCATCTTTTCAGTTTTAAATTAGATGTTCGATTATTTGAGATTTGTTTGTTGGTAATGTTAGTCCAAACTAACTCAGCGGGTTTAAAAATTAAAAACCCAAACCAAAAACTGAAAATGAAAAGTAGAAACTTAAAAACTAAAAACCAAAAACCAAAATCTAAAAATAAAAACTGAAACTAAAAACTAATGAAAAACAATCATCACCACAAATTTTGGTGAACTGATTTTATATCAAAATATTCTTTAAATTAAGACAAAACCCAATTATATAAAATTTTAATCATAAAAAATTTCCGCGCTTGGGTCAAAATCTAGTTCATTTGTAAATAAAGCATTTATTTGTACATAATTTCATGGGTGCATTTAATACTATTGAAATTTACAAAATAGCTCCCTAGGCCTAAAGATATTACTCATTACTCATTAGTACCACCACCATGTGACATGATTTACCAAAATGGTGACAATAAACTACGTAGATGCTAACTAGTCTAGTTTTACTACCATTAACTGATTTTCCATTTTGTAGGTCCCTATTAACAACATGTAACTGTAATGTAAACCAATTTTCACTTAATGACAGTCCATCGCATTGACCAAAATACCCCCCAAGCACTTAAAAGCTTTCTCCGCAAGACGACACATTGGTCAAACACTGTCTTCACCTAGAAACCTCGCCAGCAATTCGTCGTCCCACTCACACTCATTCTCATTCGCTATTACCTCGTTTGTACTCCACGCGCCGTTCAAACCAAGGCAGCAACCGAACAGACCGCTCGCGTCGACGCTAGCCATAGCGGAAGCGTTGCTGTCCGAAAACGACGGACCACAGCTTTCCCCGTTGACGTTGATCGTGACGTAACCCGTAGATGACTGAACAACCACCGGAACGGCGTACGGATCGTCGATAAACCTCACTCTGAAACGCTCCTCACCGGAAAAGTTAGCTCCGTCAATGTTCGTCGTCGTCGGTGAAGAAGACTCAACGAGCTGCATGATTTCGTCAGGGGTATACTCGTCCTCGTTAGCGTCTTCTCCGGAGATTATCATCTGCGTCGTCATTTCCTTCGCTACCGCCGTATCTCTTTCCCTCTCGCCTTCTTTCTTCCGCGTCTCCTCCATTTTCTCTTTCAACTTTTTGACGAGAGAGAGAGAAAGAGAGAATTAAGACCGTACGACTTTGTAATTTGTGTTCTGTAATGATCTTCTTGCATGTTTATATATAAAAGTATAAATGGTAACATGTTTATGATAATATCTACGAATACAGTGAATCATGTTTGTGAAGTGGGTCCGAATGAGTATGATATTATGTCTAAATCAAATCAATTATCAGCTGTCTGTATTAAAGTATAAACGCTTTTTTTTGTTGAAATATATTTTACACGTTTGACGTTTTGATAGTATAATTATGTTGTTTTGTTAGTTCACCAAGCAATGGAAGACAAAGAAACACATGTCAATTGTTCTTTGGATAAGTATACTCATGAAGGTGTCATTTGAATAGTTTTGTTACTGTTAAGTTTTTGTATGTCGGCTTGTACTCCTAAATAATGTAATAATACAATATTTGATTATATATTTTACTATATAAGATGAACATAAAATCCAAAAAAAAAGATGTTGAAAAGTTAACGAGGAGTTACCAAATATAGGAAAGTGGTCGGTGAATAATTTTAAAACACGCTAGACTTTCCTATGATAAATCCAAAGGTGGGTTAATGTCACCAACTCATCACCATAGAGAAGAAGAAAAATGAAAATACTTTTTTTTCTGAACAACGAAAAATGAAACTATATAGGAGAATTAACAAAAATATCTCTATAATATTATTTGAGAAGTCACTTTCTTAGGTGTCGCGCTCACGTTAACTCTCACGGTGGTTGATTACTATGATACCCCTAATAAATTAAAAATACAACTAAATATTATTTCCTTTTTAAAAATTTCCAAATAACAATATAAAATAAAATGGAAACATTTATAAAATTTACAAAACTATTTAAAAACGAAAATATAAGTATATATAATATGGTTTAATAAAAAAAGGAAAGCTCTCAAAATACTAATATTTAGTTTAAATATATTTTAAATAGCATAAAATATACCTTTTAAGTAATAAAATATTTTATATCTATATCTTCTTAGATAAAAAAACAATATATGTATATAATGTGAATTCATAAAAAAATTAACGAGGTAGATATATTATATTTTAATAGTTAAAATTATCTGTTTTGTTAATAAATCTTTTGATTTTTAGTTTTCTGTTTTTATGTTTGTGAAACTTAATATAACCATAGTCAAAATACTAAATCAGAATCCTTATTTTTAAAATTATTTAAAATAAATTTTAGTTTACCATCCAATCAATCTAAAGCATAAATTTTGCTTAGAATTTATAAAATATTTTAATTATTGTAAATATTGATATGTGTTCAAAAGCTTCTAAAAATTCATTAGTTACTTATGTATGTAATTTAGAATGAGACACTTTAGTTTTTATTTTTTTTTCCTTCTAAGCACAAAAAAATTTTAAGCTATAATAATCTTACTAAATATACTTATATTTCTAAGATAACAACCAGCATAAATGCAAATAAGACAATTAATCAAAAACTTAATATATTTAAACTATAAAAGATTATAGTTGAATTCAGAGAAATAGATAGAATCCAATATATCTAAATGATAACTAAATTGACCGTAAAAACAATAAAATAGACTAAATATAACATATCTAAAATTATATATATAATTAAAGTAATATAATATTATAATATAAATTAGACATACAAACTATAAATTAATTTAAAAATTAAAGTAAATATCAATCAATTATTTTTTGTATATTTATTTTATAAATATACATGTCCGTGCATGAGTACGGGAAAATCACCTAGTTTTGACATATATTTAATTCTTTGTCCTGCCTTATCTCCATTTTTATATATAAATATTAACAAGGAATTAAATATTAAGATGTCTGTTATTCAAAAATAATTTTGATCAACTAAAACGCTACAAGCATCTTATGAAAAATCCAATAAACATTTAGGCTGATCCTACAACATTTAAATATTTATATTGATATTTGGTATAATTTTATTCTTTTAATATATGATCTATAGTTTTGAACTTATTTTGTCATTCATAATTTATGATAAATTGTTTGATCTGCATCTCTCCTGCTTGATCCGCTTGATCTGCACTTGTCCTTCTTTATCTGCACTTGTCCTGCTTGATCTGCATGAACCGCTTGATCTGCACCGCTTGATCTGCTTTTACCATTGGAAGCCTTAGTGATTTGAAAAGACACTGACCTTTGAATTAATTGGGAACATACAGGGACGTGCCATCTGTTTGGTTTAGGGTAGAGAGAAAGAGATTCGAACTTTTTTTCCTCCCAATAATATATACAGTATGTGATAATTTTATATTATGTGATCTCATTGGCCTATACCCATTTTACCAATCAGAATAAGAATGTCAGTATGAGCCTAAGGCCAATTTAGCATTACCAGCCATCTTGATTACCAAAACAAAAAACGTAGGTGTGATACCTTGTGCCTTTTAACGTGATATATGTACATTGAAATTAGATCAAACAGAGTCTCTTGTTTTTTCTAAGATACAAATATGACTACTGCACCGGTAATGATCTCTTCCACTCTGTTGCTTAACCGGTATCCAAAAGGTAAAGAGTTGCTTGTAGCACAAGACACTCTCTTACCTTACGTTCCTTAACTTAGGGCAATCCAAACCCCAAATGTTCTCTAACCAGAAAAGATCATTCAACGCGAACCAGATCTTAACATGAGCGATGCTGACCCGTGCTCGCTCAAGCTTCCTGTAGACAATCTCCTCATCCTCTGCCAGAACCTCTTGCCTCGACCTGAGGCCAAGGGACCCGAGTTAGACTGTCTCTCTAACCTCCCTGAACCAGTGAACATCTCCGACACAGAAAGCCCTCTCTCCGTGTCAGGCTCAGAGTCGTAACTCGGTAGCAACGGATACCTAGCCATCCTCCCCGAGCCTTCTCCACCACAAGAGCTCTCAGCTCGATTCTCATCTTGAGTAAGTGAAGTTACAGAGTTGAGTTCCTTAGCTTCATCGCATTCGTTGCACACAAGTTTCAAAGCTTGCACTACTTCTCCCATGAAAGGACGGTGCGATACTTCAGGCTGAACGCACATTGAAGCTATTGCAGCGACTTTAGCTATGCTATCGAATGGAATCTCGGGTTGTCCTAAAGACTGGTCTATAATAGCTTCAAGACCTTCTCTGCTCGTGAGGAGCGACCTAGTCCATGAAACTAGGTTCTCTTGACCTGGTGGCTGAGTCATATCCACTGGTTTACGCCCCGTGAGTAGCTCGAGAAGCACTACTCCGTAGCTATACACATCACTTTTCACTAAAAGATGACCTGTCATTGCGTATTCTGGCGCCACATACCTATCAAAAAGCAAACATTTATGAGTTTTGTCGGAAAAGAAGAAACTGTGTTCTGGTTTTTCATTATCTTACCCGAAAGTTCCCATTACACGTGTAGAGATATGTCTATTATCTTCATCATCAAGGGCATTTCGAGCCAGTCCAAAGTCTGAGACTTTAGGAGTGAAATCATGTTCAAGCAAGATGTTACTGGACTTGAAGTCTCTGTGTATAACTCGAGGACTCGAGTCTTCATGTAAATACGCTAGTCCACGAGCTGCACCAAGAGCTATCTTCAACCGTGCATCCCAATCTAAAGGCGAAGCTTCTTTATCAATCCCTACAAAAGAAAACAAGTGTCGAAGGTAAACAATCTAAACCCAAACAAGTCTCATATATACCAAAGACATACCGTGGAGGTGAGATTCAACGCTGCCATTAGGTATAAGTTCATAAACCAAGGAACGGTTACGATCTTCAATACAGATACCAATCAGATTCACCAAGTTTCTGTGATGAAGACGGCTAAGCATTTCAACTTCGGCCAAGAACTCTCGGCTACCTTGCTGGTCATCTCTCTTCAACACTTTAACTGCTACTTTAGTTCCATCATCGAAAAGACCTTCATAGACCCGTCCAAACCCGCCTTCACCAAGAACTCTCGACTCCGCAAAGTTATTTGTTGCTTTCACTATTTCGCTTGCGGTAAACGTCTTGGCAGAGAGAGTAAACGGAGCAATGCTTGACGCAAACGATAGTGAAGTTGAGCTAAGCCGGCTTCCGGTTAAAGACCTTGCAGAACCTGCAAAATTCCACTTAGTTGAGTTAAGTTACATTTTCAGCTTCTTACAATAGAACTCTAATGGTTCTTCTTTTTTTACCTGATGGTTTCGCGAGGGAAGGCAACGAAGGCCGAGCAAGTGATGCTCTTTTAGAAAGTCTCTGATCTCTTCTTCTCCGGAAAACCAAGAACCAAACAATGACAAAACATAAACCAATAAAAGCAGCTGCAGACAAAACAATCACAGCAATAGTTTCACCGTTGAGCTCTCTCTTGCGCATCTTCTTTGGAACATCAACTCCGAGCGGTTTCATCGCTCTACCGTTGTTACTATCACCGGGGTAAGGTCCTTGATCTATAACGGTCATACCGGAAACCGGCGGAGAAGCAGGTAAACCGGGATAACGAACGTAAACCACGTCGTACTCGCCGAAGATTGTTACTTTTTTACTCCAGAATCTCTGGTAAATAAGCATTGCTGTCATGTTATCGAACTTATCTCCGAGTGGGACTAAGTCGATAAGAACAATGGTTTTCTCTGGTTGTTCACTAGCTGCGTTGGCTCCCATGATACGGACTTGGCTCTGTTTCATGAAGACTCCAGCGCTTACTTCCCGGGCAAATTCTGAAACCATGGGGAAGAAGTCGTAAAGCGCCATGTGAAGCTGAAGCTCAACTTGAATAGGCCAGACACAACCACATGGAGAACCAGGAGGTGTGTTCGTGTATGGTTCTAAGCAAACGGTTGATGTACAATCTGCATACAAAAAAAAATGGTTTTAGACCAAAAGAAGAACTTGTTCATTTCAAAATAACTGAAAAGAATGTCTGACCTGAGTTAGGGGGAGGAGGAGGAAATGCTTGAAGAGGTGGACCGAGTGGGAACTTACGAGACTTTGAAGGTTTTGAAGTTGACCTGAGAGGAAGAACTTCAGGAGAAATAAACATTTTCGCGTTAGGCAAAGACTCTTTGTTGTTGGAAAAATTATAAGTGGAGAAATGAAACCTTGGGTAGGAGAAGGTGCTGGAGCTATGGAGATATGATCCATTGAGGTAGAGATTGGAGGGTGAGCAGGAGAAATATAAGAAGAAGGAATTGGAGGAGAACGAAGATGGTGTGGTGATGGAAGAGGAGACACTGAACCTATAACAACAAAACAAAGAAAGAAGAGAGCATTAAGATCATAAGAAGGGTGTTGACTGGCCAATGTAAGTATCTCAAAGGCAATGGTAAAGTTGAAACCTTTACGCTTTGGTTTCCTTGGAGTTATGATATGCGTTGGCTGTGGTGGTGGTGAAGGAGCTGGACTATTTGTGATCTTCTTTGGCTCTTGATGATGTCGATGGTATGAAGGTGGAGGAGGAGATGATGCGCGGTGTACATTACTGGGAGTTGAATCAGGCGGTGGAGTAGTAGATGGAGATACATGATGAGGGTGTCCGTTGAAATCTGGGGCTGAGGGAGCTATTGAAGGAGGAGGAGAAGCTGCAATATAATAACAAAATGAGTTTTGTCTTCTTGATGCCGGAAATAACAGTAAACTATATGTGATTGATACCCTAAAAACACACCTTTGTGTGGGAAAACAGGCAAGGGTTTAGCAGTTTCATTTGAAGGTGCAGCCACCGGGCTATTGATGCCATCTCCATGATCACTGGGCGGTGGATGATCTATGAGAAGAAGAGGAAATGTTGATATTTCTGGTTACCTTTAATGGATAAACATATTCGAAAAGTGAGCTAACCTGGTGAGCCAGCAGGAGATTCAATTGGAAAAACCGGGTGGGTAACTGGCGAGTTTCTTCTCGGAGATCTCTCTGTTGGACTCGAGGTGGGTACTGCACAGTTAAATAGATATTTTAGAGGATAAACACAGACAACAACATAAGTAATTCCGCAACCGCATACCAGGTGAAGTAGAGGGTAACGTTGGTATGACAGGATGGACTGGTGGTGAAATGTCAACCGGTGTAGTTGGTGGAGATGCAACTGGATTCAGAGACCACAAATGAGTTTTAAAAAAACAGCAACATGTGTTGAGTAAGGGGCAAGCAAAAGATGGTAGTACTATACCAGGAGCAATAGGCTTCTCGATAAGAGGCTTGGGACTGTTAGAAGCATTTCTAGGAGGTACAACGCTCGGTATGGGAGGAGGCAGAGCAACTGATGGTAATGGTGGAATATCCGAAACAGGGCCTGCAGATAACAGAGCATTTTACAAGTTCAAGATCCCAGATTGATGCAAACTACAGAACAGTGCAAGCTAAAGATCCAAGCTTTATGCACATTCCAGTAAACTGCAAGCTAAAGTTTCACATTACCTGGAGATACCCTTCCTGCCAAAGGAGGCTCCTTTGATGCATCTCTTGGTGGTGAAGCAACCGGTGTGATAACAGGTTGAACCGGAGGAGATTTTCCCGGCAAATCCTTCACGGGTATTGTCGCTGGAGCTGTGAAAGAATCAAAACCCACCACAAAATTCAAATTTTTTTTTTGTTTTACAATACACAATTCTACTTCTCAAGAGTGCCTACCAAGTGTTCGAATAATTGCCACTGAGAGGATTCATTACCTGGAGCATTAGGAACCGAGACAATAGGCTCACCAGCCGGTGCTCTACCTCCCGCGGAATCTGCCGGTGGAGGTTCTGCCACGTCAGCTATAGGAGGAATGGACGGAGGAGGTGCTGCCACGTCGGTATTAGGAGGAAGAGACGGCTGGGAGACTTTAGGTGGTGGTGCATTGTGAGATTCAGGTGGACTGATGGGGACTTGACCAAACCCTTTTGAAGTTTCCGGTAACGGAGATGGTGGTAATGATAACGGAGGTAACAGATCCAATCCTAAAATTAAAAATTCAACAGATCATACATCATAAAAAAAATTCAAACATCTTTTGTAATCAAAGTCATTCTATTTTTATCTGATCTTTGAATAGAGAAAGTAAAAAAAAGATTGCGTCAACAACTTGGATTTTGACTTAATTTACTTTACACCTAAAAAGTATTTCAATAAAAAAAAATCTCCAGAAAATAATATTCATCGACGAAAAAAAACTCGAAAAAAAAAACATTTTTAAAATTCGTTCTTCCCCAATTGGGTTGATTCCAAAACAACATTTAACAATAGTGGAGTTATTACAAGCTCATTGTTAATAAATATATAAACACCAAAGATAGCATATTGATCCATCATCCATATGGGTCTGACCCCAATTGATCCAATCAATGGAAAAATGATTGCTTTTTTCTTTACTTAGGTGTAAATAAAAATTAAACTTACCAGAGGAAGACGCAGCAACTAAAACCGACGAAACTAGACAGATCCTTAGGAGGAACATCAAAATCTCCATTCCATAGAAGAGATCAGCTTCCTCCGATGATTACGAGGTAGCTGAACTGTTAATCTTAAGCTCCAAGTTTTAAAGCTGAGAGAGAGAGAGAGAGACAATCGAAGTGGCAGAAGGACAGAAATGGCTTCAAACGCAAGAAGAGGGATACAGAGAGAGAAGAAAGAAAGTAACAGTGAAAAAGAAGCAAAGGAATGATATTTTTTCCTTCTTCTTCTTTTAATGCTCACAAAAGAAAAGGAATTAATATAACAGAAACGAGTTTGGTGGTAATAAGAACGGTAGAAATCAAAAGAGTTGCAATTAATCTTTGAACCAGAACGTTTCTTTCTTTTTTGTTAAGTTGTTTCTGCTCCTAATTGGTCCAGAGAGAGAGAGAGATTAGATTTAACAAAGAAGGTGGGATCTTGAAGGTAGTGGGATAGTGTCAATGGAGGAAACCAGTCTCCGTGTCTCAGAGAGCCTAGTGGGTTTTTTGAACCATTTATTTATTTCCCTTTTTCTCCGTTTAGGTTGAAGATGTTATATTAAATAATTTTAATTCTGTTTTCTTTATAGACTCAATACTCAATAGATTCCCTACACATATATATCTAGTTTTGTTTTGGTAAAATTCATTTGTTGGAGAAAGTGTGTAGAAGTGTTTTCAATGTTTTATGTTTAAAATCTATAGTGATAGTGAGACAAAAAGTAAAAAATAATTAGTTGAAGACCTATAAATTCTTTTTGTTTTACGTATTCTAATCTTCAAAATTGCTTAACCAACCACCCTTTTTTTGTTTATTAATTAAAAAGGGAAAGGTTATATCATGTCAATTAGATTTATACAGCTAACCCACACCTTTTAGTATACTTATTTGTCACTTTTGAGACATTTTAACAGCATACAATAAATGCATAATTCATATGATTATCATTTTTGTATCGTGTAAATCATGTTTGTTTTTATAAAACAGTAGAAATTGTCTCCGGTTGGAATTATAAACCAAACATTGGAGGCATATCCAATTGGAAGAAAATTTCAAGTTCCTGTTTTGTAACAGATGCAGTAAGAATGAGATTAAGTAAAAGAATAAATAAAGTATTGGCATTTATTAGGAAAGTCTATTAAATTCTTTTTTTGGGTCAAAAGTCTATTAAATTCAATAGTAGTTATTAAACTGTTATTAATAACAGGGTAAAATCCATAACTAGTTTTATATACCGTTCTCTCCTGATGTCATCATCACTCACAACATGTATGTTTGTCAATTTCTACTGGTGTTATGTGATTATGCGTATGAAGTCTAAGTTTTCATAATGACCAATCCCCATGGTTGAAGAAACTAAAGGTTAGAATCAATTGAAATTTGTTTTTATTGTGAATTTTGTTGGATATTGTTGTGATAATGATGTATATTATTTATATAATTACGTAAACATTAGAGATAAGTACTCTAATGTAAGTCGGTTATGTAGATCAGGCCTTTGTAAACATGTATATATTGAGTTTCTTGCTCACGATGAAATACACACAAATATTCAGAGATCTTTTGCTTTACATGGTATCAGAGCAGAGATCCAATTAAACAGAATTTTCTTTTCGATTTCATACGTTTGTTTCTGTCTCATTCTAAACCAAAGTCATGGGAGATGAGAAAGATATTGTGACCTGCGTGTCCGGAGATAAGAAGGTTAACTCTCCTTATTCAATTTTTTCGTCAGATAATCTAGGAGCCTTGATCACCTCGGTGCAGCTAAAAGGGGGAAACTATAACGAATGGGCTACGGAGATGTTCAATGCGCTTCAAGCCAAAAGAAAGAGTGGATTCATAGATGGGACGTTGAAGAAACCATCAGAAGGTCATGTCGATTTGGAGGCTTGGCTTAGTGTCAATTCAATGATTGTGGGTTGGCTGAGAACGTCGATCGAACCACGAGTTATGTCGACTGTGACCTTCATTACCGACGCACAAAAGTTGTGGGAGAATCTCAAGGAGAGGTTTTCTGTTGGGAACAAAGTACGAGTACATCAGTTCATGTCAAAACTGGCCTCGTGTAGGCAGGATGGACAAGCGGTGATTGACTATTATGGTAAACTTGCAAAAATGTGGGAAGAATTGCAGACATATCGACCACCACCGGCGTGTACGTGTGATGCAGCTGCTCTTTATGAGAAAGAGAGAGAAGATGAGCGAGTTCATCAGTTTGTGATGGGGTTAGACGAGTCTCGTTTTGGACATGTTGTTACTGCAATAATAGAAGCAGACGTTCTGCCTGATCTTGGAAAGGTGTATAACAAGATAGTTCAAGAAGAAGATCAGTTAAATTCAGCTAAGTCACGAGAGCAACAGAATGAAGCTGTCGGTTTTCTCTCTCGTCGTGACAACAACAGTGGTGATTGAAATTCAAATGGAGGACGTGTGGGGTCACGTGATGATCTAGGTTTTCAAAACACTCAAAACAGAGGAAAAGATCGGAGTTGTTCAAATTGTGAGAGAAGTGGTCATGATAAAGCTACATGTTGGCAATTGATTGGGTATCCCGAGTGGTTCACAAAAAGAGGAGGTAGAGGAACTCGTGGTGCTCATAGAGGAGGAGGTCGCGGTGGTCCTATGTCTCGAGGAAGAGGACAATCCAATGTTGCATATGCTACTAATGCAAATTCCTCAGCAATACCACCAGAGCTAACCGCAGAACAATGGAGAGCAATCACTCAGATTCTCCAAGAAAAATCCACTAGAAATTCCGATAAGATGTCTGGTAAGGATATGGGAGATGTGATTCTCGATACAGGGGCATCACATCATATGACCGGAGATATAAATCTTCTTATTGATCTTGAAGATATATCACCATGTCGAATAGGTTTTGCAGATGGAAGTACCACGGCTGCAACTAAAAAGGGCGTGTTGCCTTTATCAAAAAGGATATCGTTATACAATGTGTTATATGTGCCAAACTTGAACTGTTCTTTGATCTCAGTCTCGAAACTTCTCAAGCATTCGAACTGTTTTGCGTTCTTCACTGATACCTTATGTGTGTTGCAGGACTGATGTTCGAGGACGCTGATTGGAGCAGGTGAAGAACGTGATGGAGTGTACTATTTTATGGATGTTGAAAGAGCTCGTGTCAACAAGGCAGTGAAGGTCGATGAATCTGTTTTGTGGCATCAGCGAATGGAACATCCAGGGCTTTCTATTTTATCTACAATGTCTATGTTTTCTGGTGTTAAAGTTTCTGAAAGTTTGGATTCTTGCAAAGTCTGTTTCAAGGCTAAGCAAGCTAGAGATTTGTTTCCTGAAAGTTCTAATAAAACTAAAGAATGTTTTGAGTTGATTCATATTGATCTCTGGGGGCCATATCGAGTTCAATCTTCCAATGGAGCCTCATATTTTTTAACTGTAGTTGATGATTTCTCACGAACTGTTTGGACATCCTTGCTTCTCGAGAAATCTGAGGTAAAAGAAGTAGTTCAAAATTTATGTGCTTACGCTAAGACGCAGTTTGGAAAACACATCAAGAGTGTTCGTAGTGACAATGGCACTGAGTTTAGCTGCTTATCTTCGTTCTTCCGGTCTAAAGGAATCATCCATCAAACGTCCTGTGTTGGAACTCCTCAGCAAAACGGTAGAGTGGAGCGCAAGCATCGTCATCTGTTGAATGTAGCGCGATCCTTAATGTTCCATGCTAAGATGCCAATTAAATTTTGGGGGGAGGCGGTTCTCACTGCGGCTCATGTTATTAATCTTACCCCGACTAGAGTACTCAATGGGAAGTGTCCCCATGAGATGTTGTTTGGTTCAACTCCATCATATTCAAGACTACGAGTTTTTGGTTCTCTGTGTTTTGCTCATAAACAGTTGCGTGACAAGAATAAATTTGTTCCTCGCAGTAGGAAGTGTGTATTTGTTGGATATCCTTTTGGGAAGAAAGGATGGAAACTCTATGACTTGGAAACCAAAGAATTTTTGTGTCTAGAGACGTGGTGTTCAGAGAAGGAGAATTCCCTTTCTCTGAAATAGATATAAAGGAGTCCTCTGTTCCTGCTAGTATGGAAATGTTTGATGGCGAGTTGATAAATAATGAAGTTGAAGAAGTAGCAGTTATCGACTCCAGGGGGAGTAATGGAGTGGAGCCAGTGAATAAGTCAATAGGGTCTCAAGATTCAGCTATTCTAGAAGTTGGGCCAGAAGTGATCAGTAAAGAAGGCGAGAGTTTAGAAGAAGTTACCACAAGTGTTGTGCCTGTTGCAGAGAGTTCTTTGGGAAGATGACAGCGTGTTAAGATACCTTCGGTGAGGTTCAATGATTATGTTACCTACAAGGCAGTTTGTGACAACGATAATAGTACCCCACACGTTCTCACCTCAGGTCAATCCTACAGTGTCTTCGTCAACCCGGTCTCAGGTAACACTATGTTCCCACTCACTGAATATATTTTGATGAACAATTTACGGGAAAACACAAAGCTTTTCTTGCAGCTGTGTGTGCTGAGAGTGAACCAAAGAACTTCAAAGAAGCTATGCGTGATAAAAGGTGGACTAAAGCAGTTCACAAAGAAGTGGATGCACTTGAGGTGACTAATACATGGAGTGTCGTTGATCTACCACCTGGACGAGTAGCTTTGGGAACAATGTGGGTATTTAAGATCAAATATAACTCCGATGGAACAGTAGAACGGTTCAAAGCAAGGTTGGTAGTGCTTGGAAATCGTCAAAAGGCAGGTTGTGATTATGATGAAACTTTTGCCCAGTTGCAAAAATGACAACGGTACGAAGTCTCTTGAAGGTAGTAGCTACTCAGAACTGGGAAGTGCATCAAATGGATGTGCACAATGCTTTTCTCCATGGTGATTTAGATTAAGAGGTGTACATTAAGCTTCCGCAAGGTGTTAATAATGAAGATCCAAATAAGGTGTGTCGCTTGCATAAATCTCTATATGGACTGAAACAGGCTCCTAGATGTTGGTTTGAGAAACTCACTAAAGCACTTGTTCAAGCTGGTTTTGTTCAGTCCTTATCCGATTACTCACTGTTCGTATACTCTTGTGGGAGTGTTGAGATTCGCGTTTTGATATATGTAGATGATCTCATTATATGTGGGAATGATGGAGAAGCGATTAAGAAGTTTAAGAAATATCTTGGTGAATGTTTCCACATGAAAGATTTAGGAAGACTGAAGTACTTTCTTGGCATCGAAATTGCACGTAATGACGAAGGTTTTGTTTTGAGTCAAAGAAAATACGCATTGGACATAGTGAAGGAGTATGGGCTGCTCGACTCAAACTCAGCTGGAACACCAATGGAACAGAACCATCACTTGGCTACGGATGATAGTCCTCTCTCGACGGACCCAGCTCGGTATAGGAGACTTGTGGGGAGACTTATTTACCTCACAAATACAAGACCTTACATATCGTATTCAGTTCATATACTGTCTCAATTTATGCAAAAACCGCGAG